GCTTCTCCCTCTGACCCTCTCCCCTCTCATGCTGTTTCTCTGTCTCTCTCTCTTTCTCTCAAATAAATAAATAAATAATCTTAAAAAAAAAAAAAGAGAAAAGGCTGAGAAGAACTACACTGAAATATTAACAATGATTCCATTTGAGTGGTGGGATTACAGGCCATTTTACTTTTTTTGTGTGTTGCTGTGTCTTCCAGTTCTTTAAGAAACATTATTACTATTATACTGGAGAGGGAGTAGAACAAATGGCATAAAAATAAAAATGTAGCAATGAAATTACCTGGAGAGAGGATAACAATTGCTGTAAGCAGAGCATACTCTTCCTGAGTCATTTTCAATTCTGCAATGCTTTTATAAAAACTAAACATAGGTGTTATGTACTCATCAGAGATACCTATGGGGGAAAGATGAAAAATTACAGAGGCATAATAAAATTTTTGAGTGACTAAAAAGTGTAAAACTATAAACACATTGTACATACATGCACATGTTAATATTTATGCACAAATGCACAAATAATGACTACATATTATGTGTCCAGTCAAAGGCAGATCATCGCAAATATGGTCGGTTAACAAAATCCTCAAAATATCACCTAATCAGTGATTTGTGTGTCCCTGATTTTAGCAGTGCCTTTGTTTCAGTCACTGCTGTCCGACAATAAATGATAATGTTCTCAAATTGCTCAAAGACTCTCCCAACTTCACCATTTTCTAGATAGGGTTTGGTTAATCTTTTTAATATTAATATCTATAATCATGGTATAGGTAGCATCTTAAACAACCAACAAAAAATTAATGTTCTTAACCCCAGAAGTATAAACATCTGCACTTAATACATCAGCTAGAGTTCTTCTCAGAGTCCATTGTCTACTAGGACATTGGTACTTGGCTGTTCTCTTCTAAGTCAATACACCCAAAATCAAAAATACCATGTACAGATCTAAACTCCTCATCTTCCTCAAAATCCATCCCATTCCTGGTATTCCCATTCTCAGTGACTATTATCTTCACCCACCTATCTGCCCCTGCCTGACAACTGAGACTCGGCCCTCTCTCTAACTCGGGCAGGTGCCGAGTCCTATGATTTGACCTGCTACCTCTCCCTGGGTGCTCCCTCTCCTCTCCATGACACCGGGAATTGATTTCCTTTAAGTCCTTATTTCTTTCCATCTGGATTACTACAACTGCCTCCTCACTGGTCTTCCTGTCTTCAGTTCAGTCCCAGAATCACAAAATTCAAATCATACCCTGTCCCCCCAATTCTTACAAACCTTCAAAAACTCCCAGTGGCTTTTGTCATAAATGTTCTTCCTTTTTACATGGGAAATTCCAGGATCTGTCCCCTGCCTATCCCACTACCCACTACTCACCTACATGATAATACTAGTAGGATCCACATTTATTAAGTACTTATTATGTATTAGGCACTGTTCCAAGCACTTCTTATGCTACAATTCATTCAATCTTCTTAATACTCCATGAGATGGGCACCAAGAAATCATATAATTTGCCCATAGACACACGGTTGGTGAGATGTGGAATCAGGATTTGAACCACAGCTAGCAGACTCCAGAGTCCTGGCTCTTAGCTGTCACTAAGCTGCGTCACCTTTCTATCATCCAGCCATGTTCAGCCACTTGGAGCTCCCTAAATTACTCACACTGCCCGGTTTTTATATTCTCTCTACTTGGAATATCCTCCTTCTGCTTTATCTAGATTAAACCTCTTCGTAACTTAAGACTCCTTTGTGTCACTTCCTCCACTCATTCAACAAGTATTAATTTTGTGCTTGTTCTGTGCATAGCTCCACTCCAGAAGAGCTTTGACTGCAGAATTACAGAGAAAAGGAGGAGGAGAAGGAGCAGGAGGAAGAGGAGGGGAGGAGAAGGAGGAGAAGAAAAAGACCATGGGAATGAAAAATAAAAAGACTGTGATGTGACGTATGGATGAATTAAGATGAGAATGAATTTCCCAGAATTGGTCCACACTAAAATCGACTGCTCTATTCCATCTCCAACCAGACCTAGAGCCATACAGCTTTGGCCAAACCAAACTAGAATATAGTTGGATTCCAGACACTAAAGAGTACAATTATCATCTAATATTATGCTTCACAGAGTCAGAAAGTCTAAATCCTTACCTTTAGAATAATCTAAAGAGTCTTCCCAAACTGAATCTCTGGTCTTTCTCTCTTTAGTCAGAATGTCACACTTTTCTTCCCCGTTGACTTTTGATTCTTTAATTGACCCCAGTGGGCTCTCTTTACAATAGTGTCTTTGTTAAGCAACTTTGGTATTACATCATGTGGAAGATTCCAACTTTTACAGATTGAACTGAATACCCATGACTAAACTAGATACAACTTAAAAATGCAGAAGGTTGAAGTATGTGAGCCTGGGAATACCAGTCCTGGTTTCCAACAAACATGGAGGTTGAGTTAGTGAGCCAGCTCTGAGTTTGAAAACTGACCTATGACTTGATGTTGGTCACAGTACCTAAACTTCCATAAGCCTCAGTTTCTTCATCTGTGAAGTGTAAACTATAACAATAGCATTATATGAGATAATATATGTGTAGTGCTTAGCATAATGCCTGGTTGATAGCAAACCCTCAATAAATGTTAGAGCAAATACTATTATTGTTATTCAGGAAATTGGATCAATTTATAGATCATTAGTTCATTTTTATCTCAGTTCACCTTAATTTTAGTTAGATTATGCTTATTTACTTTTGTGTTTACAAAGCTATGTTTTTGTTTTGTTTTTACACGCTGCACTTTCCTAGAGATGAATACAAATTGGCTGATCGGTGATTTGCTTTGGTATTTTTCTAGGTGTTAAAGCTAAACTAAGATCTATATTTTCCTGGTAAGGTTGTTTTTTTTTTTTTTTTTTCCACTTTAAAAAAGAAAAATGGCAGTCTTTAGGCTTTCCTCAGCATTCAGGGACTACACCCATCATTTGTGGCTACCTAAAATAATAACTCATGACCATGCTATTTTTTAAAATAGTATACATACAAGGATTTGGCGATAATATTAAAGGCAGCTGATTTGAAAATATTTAATTTTTAGAAACCATCTTTGACTACCTAATTTCCTATTTTGTCTTTCTAAATCCCCATTAACCTTCCAAAAATGCTACCTCCATTAGCTATCTAACTATAGCTAATACTTTTGAGGAGAAAAGAGGTAAAGATATTTGTTATGATTGTTCATAGTGTACATATTGTACAAGCTAACAGTGAATATAGTGAAAATGTAGAAAATAATAGAATTTTTAAAAAATAAATTTCCTGGGGCGCCTGGGTGGCTCAGT